TGCTACCGGCTCGAAACGCGCACTGACGCCTACAAACCTAAAGGGATACTTCCAGCATTGCGCAATGCGTGAAGTAGCCCTTTAGGTTTGTAGTCGCCCGTGCGCGTTTCGCGCTGCTGGCACTGCTGGCAGCTGGCTGGGCTACGGCTCCTCCGGCGGGCGGTCGGTGAACGATTTCTTGCGGAGAGAGCCCCTTGGTGGAGAAACTCGTGTATCGGGTAATTTTTTTTTATATTTTATAAAAATTTCGACTTTTAAAATTACACACTGGTCGTGTGAAATTTTTATTTTTAGTCATAGTTCATTTGAGCATTCTACTGGACCGATTTCCATAATTTTTGCAGTTATCGACAGGTGATAGTCTCTAAATGAGCCCGCTGTAATCAGATTTTGGAAATATGACCCAGATTTTATTTACAATAGAGTATATCTGGAAGCTTAGAGAGGGGGCAAAATTTGAAGTAAGCGGAAAATTGTGAATCTTGGTCTGTTAGTAGGGTAAGGTAAGTGAATCGAAGGTATGCTCCTTTACTACAGACTATCCAAAAGTAACGAAACAGCCCGTTCCGTTTGTTCCGTTTCGTTTCAGTCTCAGCCTGAAGTTTGAAATTCCGATTTTTCCATCGATTCTTATTGGTCCAATCGCTCTCGGCCAGAGAGAAATTTGACAAATAAGACAAATCTCTTCATTTTCTTTGATCGTTCGTTTGCCAAAGCGAGCCTAAGAGAGGGCGAAGCGCCCTCTGGGGGTTGGGCCGCATAGCGGCCAGGGGGCATAGCCCCCTAGTAAAGAAATATTCGTCATTATCATGATGAGATTCCTTCGTTCAGATATGGCCTGATCTGATGAGAACAGTATGCGAGGATTCGTATAAGTTTTGTGATTTCACAGAATTTTACTAACCTCGGGGAAAACATGTTTTTAATTTACACTTTTTAATCTTTGATATCAGTTTTAAGCACATTTTTTCTTTAATTTTTTGTTTTTTCAAATTAGTATACTGCCAGAGAAATTCACAAAATCGTTCTAGAAAAAACGAATTGCAAACAAGTTTTTTAAACTCTATTTTCCTCCTTGGAACCGTTCCGTTCAGTAATCATCGTTGAGAGTGAACTTTTAATTATGTTCCCATCAGTAGCGAATAATCAATCATCAATGTTTCTCCATCCATTTGAAGCTATGGTAAAGAATCGATTATTAAGGTTTTCGTCGAGAACTCTCTGTTTATCGATCCTTTTACATAGGTTTAAATGGCATAACAATCGATATATCGCAATTTATGCCACGTCACCGGTTGCCAACAAACCGGGATCACACGAGCACGTGAGTAATTTTCATTAAACTGTTCAATTGCTACACGGAAAACGCTTTCGGACGGTAGGGATTTACTGAAATTAAGTCTGCCACTGTCATCAACTNTTTTTTTTTTTTTTTTTTTTTTTTTTTTTTTTTTTTTTTTTTTTATATAGATAAAAAGATCTTTGTCATACAAGAGTGTGATGAACCCTATTCACACATCGAAATCATGTCGCACAATAGACACACAGAAATGGAAACTCGATTATTTGCCGAACTTGGAAGCGTATTTTAACAAGTTTTTGACTAGTTTTTTTTATTTTTTAATAACGGAAACGTTTTACAGACTAAAACTGGCAACTTGTTTTTGTAGGATTAAATAAAAATTATCGGATAAAAGAGCGACGCCAAGATTGGCACAATTTGGGCCAGAAGGGATTTTTCTGAAACCGGGCCCAAACGATACGTTATGATACCCTAAAACTCTGGTAAAAATTTTAGCTTGAGTATACGCACGGTTTTGGAGAAATGAGGGGGCAAAGTTGCCAAATCGCCATCATTCTGGACAACATTTCTACAGCAAAAAGACGGGAAAAATGGACGAAAAAGTTACACCTTCGATGGGTTTCGGCTGTAAATGTTCTCATTGGGCCCCCAAGCATTTAACTGTGTTCAGTTTCAAAAATTTTGGTCGCACAGTGGTCCAAAATGGGGGAAATCGTCGACAAATCAGGATTCTTTGTCAAATTTTTAGAAATGGAAGTAAAATTGTCGGTCTGCTGCAGTTTTCATGGCTAACAATGTTCGTATCGGTCATCAATGCATGAAATTGTGTTCAGCTTCACAANTGTCAGCTATTCAAAACATTAGCTAAATCCGGGACTTTTGCTCATCCGTAGCCGCTATATCAAAAAAACCGCAAAAAAAGGCCTTTTTAGGCCATTTTTTCAAAATAGCGGAAAATGCTCACCAGATACGCCTGCGGAAACTTCAGATTCGGATTCAGCGACCCAAAAAACATAAAGTAGGCCAAAAAAATCGCTGTGTACCCAAAATTCCAGGTAGACTTACCAGGCGCCTGGACTAGAAATGGAAACTCGATTATTTGCCGAACTTGGAAGCGTATTTTAACAAGTTTTTGACTAGTTTTTTTATTTTTTAATAACGGAAACGTTTTACAGACTAAAACTGGCAACTTGTTTTTGTAGGATTAAATAAAAATTATCGGATAAAATTTAGGATCGCGCTCTTCTGAATTCTAGATTTTTTCAATTCTTGGCAGGTGAAGTTGAACAAAAATTGTATGCTTATTTTATAATTTTTAATTTAGCACACATTTTTATCGAACAATATTCGTAGTGACTTAATCATGTTATAATGTTTCACCCTCTTGGCTGAATTGCCCAGTCCGGAGACAGGGTAACTTTTTTGTCCAGCCCCTGGACAGATCACCCTTGTTGCCCGGTCCGCGAATTAGTTCTAATATTTTAAAGCTATAAAATTGAGAACGGGTCCGATGCAACTTATTTTACTGTTTTTTTACTATTGTAATTTCTGGCGCTGAAGTCTTTTTTTAGAATGACATATTTAAATCACTAAGTATCTTAACCTACAAATACTGCACTGATTGTGAGTTGATTGTGGCGCCAAAATGCAACTATTCGTGTTCCACAGATATGCGTGTTGCATGTTCAAAATTGAAGGCACTTTCGCTTTTCTCACTTCTTCTAAAATGCATGGGAGTCGTCAACACCCGAATAACAGAGTGCCTATGTAAAGCCAAAAATAGGTATTGTAGCTCCGTCATTTTAAGGAAAAAAAAAGTGCCACTCTTATTTGGTCAACAAAACGGCGGGCTTTTTCGATTAACTAAAACGAAATTTTTCGGTTCAGTTAATCGAAATTATCGGCTACAGGAACCACATTTTGGTAAGCTGAATCGATGTTTGGTTTTTCCGACCGAGATTCTTGATTTCTAGAACTGAAAAAGTACGATGCTCAATACGCACGGATTTTTTTTCGCAGTGCAAATAAGACTATACCTCTGTTTTGCCGACTGTTACTTTAAAGTGTATTAGAGGCTTGCCTAATCGTCCTGCAGGTCAGTTTTCCATACAGAGAAAAATCTATGGCTTTATAAACCAATTAAAGGTTCACTAATCGTCACTAATAGTCGTAAATGAACAGATAAATGATTCTCGATCTGTGAACCATACAAAGGTATCTCGTACCACACTAGGGTATATAGTGCTAAGGTATGCTGTTAGTTGTCTTTACTACTGTCAGTGGTGTTCCATATAAGCCTCTAATTGGTTTATAAGCCATAGCTTTTTCTCAGTGCAGTTTTTTAAGTCTCTTTGAAGTATGAAAATGATCAATGATTATGGGCTGTCCTGCTTATTTTTGTCATGACTCTTAGGGATCAGCAAAATAAAGTGCATTTGGACCAAGTTAAATAAAAACACACCAAGTTGCATCAAGTTCGAGCTAAGAAAAGGAAGTGTGAAGTTGCACTCCTTCATGAGACTGAATACTAAGGTCGAAGTTTGACAACTATTATCACATGAACAATGTATTTCTCGACTTTGAATTTTACACAGGATAAAATTTGAGAGTTTTGAATTCAAAACTACTTCCAACTCGAATATTTCCAAACTGCGACTTCGAGCAATTTTTCAAACTCGGTCAACTTTCTTTCGGATTCGTTATTTTCGCTTTAAACTCTTTTAAAGGCGATCGATCTCGACTAAAGGACGCTCCTTTTGTGTAATGGCGTATCTCAATTTCCGCATGAGCCCCCGAAATCATGGATTTCTGTGTAAAACGGGGCCCATGAGAATTTTGAGATACGGCCTCAGCAACGTTATGAAGAGGGTTTCTTTCAGAGTGGCGTGGCGTGAATTGCGATGTATCGATTGTTACGCCGTTTAAACCTATGGTAAAGAATCGATTATTAAGGTGTTCGCTGCAAACAATCTGTTTATCGATCCTTTTTCATAGGTTTAAATGGCATATAACAATCGATATATCGCAATTCACGCCACACCACTGAATTCTTTCAATACTGTGAATGTGGTGAATGTAAGCGGATGCTTCTTTCCTCTTGAATTCGGTCTAAATGCTGAGGTTTGATTGAGGGGTCTTGGAGGACAAGGCACATAAGTGCAGTTTTTGCTCCTTCGAGAAATACGTGTTTGAAGTTTCGAAATTACATAGATTTCTTGCGGCGGAAAGAAAGTTCAAAATGACTTATTGATGTTAAAGAATTTGAATTTAGGAGCGAATTTTTCGCAGAATATACGTTACGATTAGTTTTACTTGATCTCATTAAAATCTCAATTTTTTCAAAAACTGCACTTATGCGTCTTGTCCTCCAAGCCCATCGATTATAAAATCGTTTTGGTCCTTGTTATTATGACAGAATATTAGATTTCTAGATTGTGATATTAGATTTTGAATGAATTGCAATTGAGGATGTAATTTTTCATATAAATGATTTTCCTCCTGTTATTTTTGTCCATCAGTAGATTCTGGAGTAGATCATATAATAAAAAAGTACGATTTCTCGAAACGTTTCTGGCAAAATTGCTCAGAATTGCTGAGTCAATTGCTCATTAGAAATGAGCACAGTTTTACTTTTATCTTTTTCCCCAATTTTTTCATGTACTTGAGGGACGAGTGGTGGTAGAAAATTAACAATGTATTCATTGTAGAAGGTTCATCGTTTATTATCAACATTAAACAACAAATTTAAGTGTCTAGAAGATATGGATTATTATAGCTTTATATTACTCAGTATTTACTTTTACACACCTCGAATCTATACACGACAGTTTTTCAACTTAGGTGTAACAGAAAGTATGGAAATTTAAAAAAAATAACTCAAATTACCTAAAAATATATAAACACTAATAACATACAGGCAAGAAAAAAGTAACCTTTTTACATAAGAATACTAGATAAGTACTCACTGTTTCACATTTACATTCAATACCGGTACAAGTACGTAAACTATACCTCTGTATTATATTTACACAGTCGAACTGACAAAAAGTAACAAAACAATAATCCGAAAACAGAAGAAGAAGAATTAAAAAACAACACGTATGATATTAACCCACATTGTACAAAAGTAAACGAACAAAATTGAAAGATAATATTAGAGTTCAAGGATGATGGTAAAAAAAGAAATAATAAAAAATTAAAAAAAAATAATAGATAAAAAATAATCATCAATTAGTTAACGAAATCCTAAAGATCATCACCGGTTCCTCTTTACAAACGAACTCTATCAAATAAATCTAACCGGTAAACAAAGGTGATCAGATTTGAATAAAAATAGAAGAAAAATAATTTAGATCGAGGAAAGTTAAAAATACAAATAATACTTTTACAAAACTGGAGTTCAAGCATAACAAAAATAGGTTGTTAATATAAAAAATTTAGGGAATTTGTCACCACAAACCGATCCCAAAGAATCGTGTTTGAACGGAAAAAGTAAATCTGAATTCAACTTTCTGAGAACTATACTTGAAGGAAGCACCGTGAAACATATAATTCATATTGCGACCATATATTCAATGAGAAAATAGTGACATGTGAAACAATAACATTTTTTTGCAAGTCTTTGAATGATCTGATTTGATCAAAACGGAATTTATTATGATTTTTCCGGCGAATTTACATAAAAACCTACCCTTTATGACTCTGAATCTCATTTATGTCAGAGGTCTAACGAATTTTCAGAGATTAACAGAATGGTTAAAAAAGCGCTAAGATAGTTACTTTCTACACTTTCAACTTTTTTTTCTTTCTTTCTTACGGAATTCTTACCAAAGAGAAAATGTTGATGATACTGGTGAAAAAGCTTGACTTAGTGCAGAATTAACTTTGTGATTTTCGAGTGTTGAAATATGCTCGCAAAATGAACGAAAACAATAAAATTATTAAATTTGAAAAGGAAGAAGAGGATGTAAAAAATGATGAAGAAGGGAGAGGGATACATATATTACGGAATGAATTTTCAGTAAAGTATCGTCATTAATTCTGAGAGATAACGTGGAATGTTTGAGTGTCTTTTTCTTGGAAAATAGAAGTTGATGTGTCCAAAGGAATAAATGAAAAACTATTGTGTAGACTTCGACATAATTATCTGAGCAATGAAAAGTTTTGACTCTGGGGTTTTACAGTTGGGGTTTCTTCGTTCAAGAGTGCGTCTAAAAAGTGCCGATGAGACTAAATGCAAAAATTACTAATTATTATTCAGGGACAATTCCAATTAATTAAATTCGTTGGTTCTATGATTATATATGAGAAAATCCTGCTATGATAAACATCAAAAAAGGCATGTAAATCTCAACAGAATTTTTGAATTTTATAGAGCGAGGGGCACACATTTGAAAATTAACTGATTTAGAGATTTTTTAAGGGAATTTTGATTAGTACTTATTTGGGAGGCACTATGCACGTCTTAACGTCTTGTAAAAACCGAATAAAACACACACACACAAGCTAGAATATAAAAAAGAGGATCATAATAGTAGTCTAATAAATAAGAACTATGTTTTTATTTTTTCTCTGAAATAACCCATTGATTGTGCGGAAATCAAAATGATTAATTGAGCTCGATTTCTACATAAATTAACTAGAGTTTACAACTATTCAGTAACCTTAGTCGGTGTAATTCTTCGTAGTTAAAGTTCACAAATACCACGCTTACTTTGAAAATTATAAATTGCTTTTCACACAATAGAAAAAATCAACGAGACAAAAAATTTACGAAATGAAAGGACGTGAAGCCATAGGAGTGTGATTTTGAAGAAGATCATATCTAAATGCAGAAATTCTTCACAAATATCTTTCTTTTGATAGAATTGTTTAGTAGAGACTCTTGCTGAAAATTGCGTTCCATTGTTATGATACATTCAACCATAAGGTTGAAAAGTGAAAAGATTTTGAGTTTTCAAATGCTACTTTTTTTAAAATTTACGACGATATTTTCTCAAAACGGTAACGCCTAATCTCACCTATCTTCAAGTCATGAATTAAAAAAAAATAAATAAATAAAATATGAAAATTTAAAAAAAGTTCCAAATTTTTACGTTTCAATGAAACCTATAATGCGGACTCATTGCATACTTTTAAGATCTTGATTTGAGGGGAAGAAAATATGATTTCAGGTGAGTCCTAAAATCAATTCAGAGATTACAGTTATAAATCTCAAATATTTCAGTTACAATTTCTCCAATCGGAAAATGAAAAAAGTAGAAACCAAAAACGTCAAAATCCCCCTTCAAATCAGGCCTCATCCATTCTGAGATGGATCAATAAGTCCCTTTTACAGACCGCTCCATTTAACGCACGAGGTTTTCAAAATTATTATAAAATATAAAAACTAATAGTGACAATAATGCGATAACATTGCTTTGGTATGAATCAAATTTTATCTATATACAAATATATCAAATGCCTTATTTAGCTACGATAAGTTAATAAGAGGGGAAACCAACAGGAAAGTACAGCGAGTGATTATTATAAGTACCGGTTCACATTTACGTATATACTATCTCGCTATAACACCTATTTACAATCAAGTGTTACAATTAAACTATGGTTTTTCCATTACAAAAAATATGAGTGAAAATCATGTTATCGACAGGAATAATACTTTCTAGGAGGAGAGAAAAATTGACTTATTGTAATTTCCCTTCTCAAAAGAAGAAACTTTCGTACCTCAATTTGGGTAAATTTTTCATTCACAGTTGACTGGTCCAACTCATGCTGATACGCAACGAGAGAATCTTGTATGGATACGGGGGTATTGTGCGTTACTTTTTGAACGATTGCAACTCATTTCGGGGTGGATGACATTGAAAGACTTAAAAACAACTACGTGAGGACTATTATCGTACAAAATGAAAAGAAACATTTACATCGACGAGGATACTTGTCGGAAAACAGCAGTCTTTGAGAGGTTCGACGAAGAAAACCACATTTCGCCATTTCCGGGACGAAAGAACGCAACTTCATCTCACCGTCGCAAAATTTCGACACGCTATCCGTCCTTAAAGCCGGAAAGTCTTGGTTCCCTTCGTTGAAAAGTTCACTGATTTTTTTGCGCATCATTGAAAAAATTAGCAAAATTTCGTACAAAAAACCAGCAGTCGTTTTTGTAAAACAGTGGAGAAACTGTTTAAGCAGAACCGCGCTCTTCCTTGACTATTGATCAATGCATCGATTGATGATAAATGGTTAAATTCGTGATACATCTTTTGAATTACTAAAAGTAAAGTGTGAACTTTCCACTTTGTTCTGCCTTCTTGCAAAAATGCAAGTTGTCAGCTTTGAAATAATGAAAAAATATGAGCGTTTCAGGCAATGGTTGAGATCAAGGGTCGTATTCCTGGTCTCTGCTCTCCTTGAACAGCTCCTTTCCTTAAGAGGCCATCCATTTGCTTTACATTGTATTTTACCTCCGTAAATTACGATGTAAACCAAATGGACCACTCTGAAATAAAAAATTCTTTGAAAAACGACTACTATGCCAAAACCTAAATCATCAATTGGACTGCATTTTGCAATTTGGAACTATAAATTCTGGCTCTTCTAGAAAAACACTTATGTGCATAGGGAAACTAATGGCACATACGTTGTTTTTAAACCGGGCTAGAATTTATAGTTCCTAATTGCAAAATGTAGTCCAATTTACCAATCGATCCATCAATGGATAGTCAATGAACGAGTAGCACCATTTTCAGCAAATTTTGCAACGTTGAAATGACGTCACGTCCCCGCGCCGGGAAACCACATTTAAGCTTACATAGGAACTTGGTCATGAACGGAAGAGGGTCACCATTGGCCTCGGAACGAGGCCCTTCTGCGTCCACGGGAGCCTCTACCTCTGACGGGCAAAGGAGACATCTGGCGTCAGTAGATGCTCTGAATCGGGAGGTGCCGAAGTCCCCCCCAAGGATAGAGTCATGTGTTGTCCTTCGAGGCAGAGATGCTCGAGTCATCATCCGGCCCCATCAAGGCCGGCATGACGTCCACCTTCATGTTCTGGTTCACCACGCACTTCCGCATGTGCTTCTCCAGCGTCGAGGGCACCGAGAACGGCATCTCGCAGAAGCGGCACTTGTACACGTCCTTCCCGAGCCTCCCGTGTGTCTTCATATGCCTCGTCAACTTGGAGCTCTGCGCGCAGGCGTAGGAACACAACTCGCACTTGTAGGGCTTCTCGCCGGTGTGCGAGCGGCGGTGAACGGTGAGGTTGCTGCAGTTCTTGAAGACCTTGCCGCAGTACTCGCAGGTGTCGTTTCTTCGCGACTCCTTCTTCATGTGCTGCATCGGGAGGCCGCTCAGAGCCGCTGCGGCCGCCACGACGGCCAACGAGGAGGCACTGGTTCCGGCCTTGAGGCCCCGACCGTCGCCCTTCATCATGGGTTCGGTGGACTTGGACCGGGGGTTCAGCATGTGGATGGGGTTGTCGCCCCTGCCGCCCGTGAAGTGGAACTCCCGTTGGTGGGCGGCCGCTAGGGCTGGCAACCACAACCCGGCGTATTGACCGGGCACACCGCGGCCCAGCATTGAGTGATGGTGGTTCTCCAACTCTAGTTTCATCCGCTTGTTGGCGGCGTCGAAGGGGTTTTCGAAAGGCGAGCCAGGGCCGTAGAACGCGGGGTGGCTGCCGAGATCCATCGGTGTTTCGCCGCTCATCAGGTTCTTGGCGAATTCATCGCGGAAGCGACTCGACTTCTCCAAGAGCCCGTTCTCGAGGTGTTTCGACTTGCTCTTGATGTTGTTGTTCTCGGCGATGATCGGGGACCTGGGGTGGAGCATGTCGTCCTTCGAGCGGGGTGGTCCGATCGACTCCCGAAGAGCCTCCCGGTAAGCGTCGTGGTACTGTTGGATGTCCCGGAGGCCGAACTTCTCCATGAGTTCGCCGACCAGGGAGTTGCCCTTCTCGGTGGAGGTGGGTGTGGAGGTCGGCCGTGGCGTCGTGGAGGGGGTTTTGTTTGGCTCTCCACTGTTGGGTGGCGTCGAGGAGTTGGACTTGGTGGTCAGGTCTTCAGGGGCGTCACCCCCGAGATCGTCATCGTCCTCGTCTTCCTCTTCGTCTTCCAACTTCATCTCGGAGTCGACGTCTTCGTCCTCGTCTTCCTCCTCTTCATCTTCGTCCTCGTCCATTTCTTCCTCGTCCTCCATCTCCTCGTCCTTGGAGCCCGAGTTAGAGACCTCGTCCGGTGTCGAGTGGTCGCCGTTGACGGCGGTGGGTTCCTCCTCGCCACCGGTCTCCCCGTTTCCCCGGCCCGGCTGCCAGTGCATCTTCATGTGCCGCTTGAGCTTGGAGCTCTGCGTGCAGGCGTGGTTGCAGACGGAGCACTTGTAGGGCTTCTCGCCTGTGTGCGTGCGCCGGTGGACGATGAGGTTGCTCTGGAAGCGGAACTTCTTGCCGCAGAACTCGCAGGCGCGCGTCTTCTCCTCCGAGATCGGCGAGACGGAGCTCGGGGGCATGGAAAAATCCGCCGGCTTGTCGCTGTTGTTGGGCGGGGTCGATGCCGAGCGCGGAGTCGCCGACAGGTCCATCGACGACTCGCACGCCGGGGTCTCGGCCAGCTGCGATTGCTTCTCCGGCTCCATGTTGTTGTTCTGCATGTTGCTGTTGTTGTTGTTATTCGTGGCTATCGACGAGCTCGAGACGTTCGATGCTCCTTGGGTATTGCTATTGGGACTAGTGAATGGGGGTGACAGCTTCCGCGGCGACGGCGAGGAGCTCTTGGTGGCGGCGCCAGGACTGGTCGTGCCAGCGAGCTCCCGAAGCCGCTTCGAGTAAAAATCCAGCTGGGGCTCCAGGGATAAGCTCAGCGCTGGCGGGGGAGGAACGGACGACGTAGGAACAGGGGATGGGCGATCCGTGGGGAGGAAAGGTGAGTGCGGGGGCGGGACCCCGCTGGCGGCGGCTACCGCGGCCGCGATCCCATGGTTGATGCGGAACTGCTCGTTGACGAGCTGCTCCATGAGGAAGGGATGATCGTGGTGACTAGAGGGTCTGGCGAATAAGGCAGCGGCCGGGCCGTTTCCGGGGCTGTGACTCACTGGCGTGGAGGTCGGCGGGAAGTGGTGTCTGGGAGGCTCACCCAACGGCATCCTTAGCAAGCCTCCCACCCCAAAAGGGTGGAGCGGCATGTGAGGGTTGTGCGTGTCCAGGGGGGAGGTAGGTGGGAGCGGGGGTCGGGGCAGGGGGTGCGTGGGGGGCACCGGGCAGGAGGTGAGGGAGCCCCCCGAGCAGGCGGGGGAGGTGGAGGAGCAGGAGGAGGAGGGGGAGGAGTGGCTTTGAGCTGGCTTGGCGAGTGAGGCCGAGCCCGGCGAGGAGCCCAGCGAGGAGTTGGAGGAGGAGGCTTCCACGTAGATCTTCATTCCGTGACTGTTCTGCACGTGCTGCAGGAGCCGCCACGCCGAGTGGTATCTGTGCTTGCAGGTCGAGCAAACGTAGTTATTTGGTTCTGAAACAGAAGAGAAAAACACCCAAAATTAGAGACAAATCTAAATAATTTTTTTTTGTCAGCCACAGGCGGAATCAGCAGTTTGGCAACGCCGGATTCTCTCCGTTTAAACCTATGTTAAATAATCGATTTTTGTCAGAGCTCCCTCCAAGAATCGATGCATTTCCATAGGTTCAATTGAGAAAAACAATGTTGTCAATTTGCTGGATCCGCCAATGTTGTCAGCAAACATTTTTTCAATCAACCAACAATTTTTACACCTACGAAGATTTTTCATACCAAAAAGGATATTTGGCATCGATTAAAAAGAGTTCAGCAAAACAGTCACATCACATCGCGGTGTTTTGAACAAGCATACCTGAGAATTATTGCAAAATCTTTTGCCAATACGGAGGTTATTTTCACAAAATTTAAAGCGAAAAAATTAGTCGGTCCCCTTCAAAAAAATTAAAGTAGGAGATGAAATTCTGAAACACCGCAATGTAAAAGTGATTGTTTTGCTTTTTCTTGTGGCATTTGGCAATTAGGATCTACAATTTCTAGTTCATCCTTAAAAACACGCTCGTCTACTAGGGAACAAATGTTACAAACGTTGTTTTTTTTAAACTGCACTGAAAAAAAACTCCGGTCGTGGGAGCCGCAATTACGTGTTATATAGATAAACCGTCCGTTCCGGGTTCAAAGGCCGAAAATTCCGGCTGCTAGAGGCGTAGCTTCGATTGCTCCGGGTTCAGAGGCCGAAGCTACGGCTCCAGAAGCCGGCATTTTCGGCCTTTGAGCCCGGAACGGACAGTATGTCTATAAAGCCCGTAATTGCGGCTCCCACGGCCGGAGTTTTTTTTTCAGTGTGAGTTAGAAATTGTAATTCCTAATTAATTGCAAAATGTGGTCCAATTATCCTCGAAACAGGACAGAGGATTCCCTGCTTCAGTTAAACAATTTTTTAAAATGCTATTTTCCGAGTCCTTTGACAGCCAGCGTTCCAAGGGCGCGTGCATGAGGCTCGTCAAAACAGGAAAGCACACTTTCCCGGCGAAAAAGCCTCCTACCAGCGAGGGGCTCGATTCCGTGACGAGCACAAGGTGTCACGGTCGACCCCGGCGAGAG